ACCACTAAACCCTCAGAGCCCAGACATGCACAGAGAGAGAGACAAATTCCCCTAAGCAGGTAATTGGGAGTGATGATAAGTATGGCCATTCCTACCCTGCATTTCTACCTATTGGAGACACTGCATCGTATAAAATTCACTGATATCAAGTACACACTGTGCCCTAGATGATGACCACTCTCCTCAAAGCTACTGTGTCGGCTGTGCCTTGAATGTACCATTTCATCACTCTGCCAAGCTAGCAGCCTCTGATGGTGCGGGATGTGATAGGACCAGTGTATCTCATAGTTATGCACCTGCTCCTGCATTCCCTTTTCTTGAAAGTGGGTCCTTAACTTTGATACAGTATATGAGGTACCCATGTCCATTGGTCAAATATTCTGTAGACCACAAATAGTGGTGCTGGCCGAAGCCTTCTGGGAAGGAAAGGCAAACCCAAGCACAGAACTGTTCTGTCAAAATGAGCCTCTTTCCCTTCCTAGGTAGAAGAAGTCTATTGCGGTTAACTTGCCCTCAAGTGGCTGGTGGTATTCTCAAGAGTTAGTGATATATAGGGAACTCAGCATTGGTCTCTGCTGCTGGCAATTGGAACCATGAATAGCATTCATCTCTGTCACCAGTCTTTATTCCTATCTAGGTTATAGACAATCCAAACCCCAAATTCTAATTTTGTGTCTGTTTCTTTGGTCCCCTGCTAGTACTGTTGTAGGTCAGAATTTCCAAAAAGTAGACTGAAGCAATGATTCATAAGCAGGAAGTTTATTAGTGCCCATGGAAAGGAAAAAAGAAGGATTGAGCAGAGGAAGAAGTTGGGCTATGATACAGTCCAAACAAAGGCCTCAGCTGACCATACAGAAAGTTGGTTTGGACCTTCAGAGTTATCCTGAGCTGGAGTGAGGTGTTCATTCTTTTTACCTTTGTGTTGGCCAGTTATTGGATACTAAAGGCCTGGTGCACAAAATTCATGCATGGGGGGTCCCTCAGCCTGGTCTGCAATGACGCCAACATCCTGTGCCCTGGCCTCTGGCCAGAGGCTCCTCCCTCCCTCCGCGCTGCTAGAGCGCAGGATGCTGGGCTTGCATCGCCCCCAGAGGTCCCTCCCTCCCTCCACATGGACGGGTGTGAGACACAAGGTCCTGTCCCTACCGCTATGGGCACCACCATCTTTGTGATGGAGTGATGATTAATTTGCATATTAGCCTTTTATTAGATAGGATAGACTACCCCAGAAAAGGCAAGGTGACTCTTTTTAAAATAATTCTCAAAGGAGAGTGAGAAATGAGGACCAACTGCTGGCAGCATTCCCAGTGGCTGGAGAAATAAGAGCAATAGACCCAAAGGGATATCTGGAAGAGTCATCACAGAGTTCATTATAAGCATGCGACATTATCTGAAACTAATGTGTTTTAAAAAACATTCCCTCATTTATTAAATATCTTCCTTAATTAAAAATAAAAATCATGGAATAGATGTTTTACTTGTCTGGCATGTAATACCGTGTTTCCCCGAAAATAAGACATCCTCCGAAAATAAGACCTAGCGCATGGAAAGATAAGATATCCCCTGAAAATAAGATCTAGTGCAACTTTAGGAGAAAAAATTAATATAAGACACTGTCTTATTTTTGAGGAAACAGTGTATGTTCTCACTAAATACAATAATTATTGAATTTTGAGTGAATGAATTTTAAACTGATTATAACCCTTATCAAAATAATCAAAGATAATCTATAAAATTTTATTCAAGGAAGCAATTTTCTTGTTAGATTGGAGTTCTTTTGTGTCTTTTGTTTCGTCCTCTCCTCCAACCCCCCTTTCTCCTTGTATTCAAAGACAGAAAGTAAAAGTCTAAAGGTTGTATAAGATACCTCAAGATCATTTGTTTTTTTGGATGTCATCTAGAAAATACTAGATATTTGGGAATGGGGGAGAAATAAATAAAAGAAAATAACCTTGGGGAAATTTACTCATCACTGGAGGAATTACTATTCAGTGTTAATAGTATGAGAAAAAAGAAATTGGAGTATTTTGGTGTGTATCTATATGGCATACACCAGGGGGAGCCTGTTGCTCCCAGCAGCCACTGCAGTGAGGCCTAGACCGCACCTCATATCTGGAGCCATAACAGTTCTAACAGTAAGAGGACACACCTTTGTGGAGACAATTGTCTTGTCAGACGCAGTTTGAGTAAGGTCTCCTTTCAGCCTGGGGCAAAATTCTAAGAGTGAACTGGCAACTTTTTTAGGGCCACCACAAGCTTCAGAATATGAAGAAAGAGTTAAACATCAGATTAAATAACTAGAATTTCTGAAGCAATGTAATCTTCAAGGGCTATGGTGCCAGGCACCAAAGTTTATAACATTAAAATTTAAGGAAGGTTCTGCCTCCATTGATTTTACTCTGTTTTATTCCAATGCCAAATTGCATTTTAATGCAAACAAAAGTAAAAATTATGTTCTTTAAACTCAATTATCAACTATGTTCATTTGTCAGATGAAAAATCAGATGCCAACTTACTGCCAAAAGCCAAGTGGAATCGAGGTTAAAGTTTATATATAGTTACTTAAGGAAAACTATAATAAATTACTTAATATTTTATACCTAAAACTATACATATACGGTATCCATGTATATTTGCACTAGAGGCCCCGTGCACAAAATTCATGCATGGGGGCAGAGGGGTGTCCCCTCAACCCTGTCTGCACCTTCTCCAATTTCTCCCGGGTCCTTCTCACTGGCTCCTAACCACTCACCTGCCTGCCTGCATGATGGCCCTAACTGCTCTCTCCTGTCAGCCTGATCCCCCTAACTGCTCTTCCCTCTTGGCATAATCACCCTAACTGCCCATCTGCTCTCCCTTCCTCTCTACAGCCTTTGGATCTCCAGCACAAGTGTGCTGAGAGCTCTCCCCTAGCCAGGCCCCTATCCTGATTGGTCATTATATGATGGTGTCCCAGCCAATTTGCATATTTCTCTATTATTAGTATAGCTATTTAAATAAAAGGATGCATCAGATGTCAGCTGATTTCCAGATAGTGAGATTTATAATATTCAATTGAAAACACTCTTTAAGACCATAATTTTCTACTCAATTGCTAGGACCAGTCTATTCAAAACACATTTTTTTTTTTTTTTTTTTTTTTTTTCCCAGAGAGAAAGGTAAAGGGAGAGAGAGATAGAAACATCAATGATGAGAGAGAATCATTGATTGGCTGCCTCCTGCACACCCCTTACTGGACATCGAGCCACAACCTGGGCATGTGCCCTTAACCGGAATCAAACCTGGAACCTTTCAGTTCACAGGCCAGTGCTCTATCCACTGAGCCAAACCAGCTAAGGCCCAAAACATACTTTTAATAATGGCATGAGATATGTGGAACTACAAGGGAAAAAAAATTATGAAAACAGTTAGTACCAAAATCAAACTGAAAATTCAAGGCATCTGAAGTCCAAAAGGGCATTATGTGTACACGAGCAGGCTGGAGTGGTCAGCCAGGCTGAGCCAGAAACAGCTCTCTGCTCAGCTGCAAGGGCCAGGAGAGGATGTTTTCAACCACCGCGTTCCTTCTTTGGTTTCTGCATGAACTTAAATAAATACATTCTTTATCTAGAGGAGTGTGTGACCTCCTGGTGTGTGTCTAGTGACTGGCTTCGGAGAGGAACCAAGTATGAGTATTGGAATCGGCTGTGGAAATTGTGGTTTACATTGCCTCTGAGCTGCAGTCTTGTTTGCTCTGGGAGAGGAGCTAGCTGCAGGGCGGAGGCACTTTCTTCCTCCACTGAATTTCAGTAAGAATCAATCAACGAAGTCAGGACTCCATATGCCCGCTCAGGCTGGGATTTGAGCCCGACACAGAACTTGTGACATTTAATATTTAAGAAAGATGCCACAGAGGCATGACTCCAGGAGGCTCTTCCTCCTGGACCGGAGGACTGGAAGTTATGGCTGCAGGGCCTTCTCCATCCTGCCCTGATGTCTGAGGCTGCTCAGACATAACAGGCGTCTTCTTTTGAAGAGAGCTATAGAAACAATGCATAATAGTTGCTGGTTATACATTTTACTAACATAATTAGCAAACAAATGCCACGGGTTCTAAATTGTTTGAATTTAGAATTGCATTTTGTTCTTAAATGCCCCTTCCTTAAAACTTGAAAGCCAGCACATTCAATATCAATGAACTCCATATCTTGAAGGATAGGCAAGAGAGCAGGCTTAAGTTCAGTCACCAGGAGAGCAAAAGTCGAGGTTCGCCAGAGATGCTGGTATTTTTGTTCTTATCTAGTCTTGTATTGGGGAAATGCAGTAATTCCTTCAGTATGTATTACTCCTCTTAGTGTGTCTCTGATTCCTCTAAATTTACTTCACTGTTAAAAAACAAAACAAAAAATGTTAATCTTTCTGCATCACCAAGCAAGTCAAGTGAGAAAGGAGAAAACAAAAAGTGAACCCCATTCCTTATAAATTATTGAAGCACATTGTCAACAACAGTATGTCCTGGTAGCAGATGACAGCCTCTGAAGCAGCAAGGATACAGCCCAGTCTGTGGAGCTTAGTGGGGAAAAGGAAGGAAAGAAAAATGTCTTCTTGAATGGAAAATTAAAGAAACTCCTATTTAGTCTGGCCAGTGTGGCTCTGTTGGTTGAGTGGTTGTCCTTTGCACCAAGAAGCCGCAGGTTGGATTCCCGGTCAGGGCACATGAATGAATTGTGGGATCAATTCTTAGAAGAGGGCATGCTGGAAGCAGCTGATCAATGTTTCTCTCTCATCATTGATTTTTCTATCTCCCTTCCTTTCTCTCTAAAATCAATGAAAACATGTTTTAATGAAAGAAACTTCTGTTTAGATTTATAATATGGATTTGGGGAATCTCTTCATACTCAACCCCAATTGAAATTAACTAATAAGTTCTATTTAAATAGTTGGATAAAGTTTTATACCATTTCTGTTGTTCTTTCTTTCACATCATTAAATAATTTTGAGAGAAAAGATGTAGACACTTCACACAACTACCTCTTATACTTTCTGTAAAATGATGTTTTAAAAAGTCTATAAAGTAAAACAAGCTTGTTACTTCAACCACCTAGTGAAACTAAAATAAAAGAACTGGGTGTTTTCATAGAGTTTATGTGAGTCCTATTCTCCTTGTCCTCAGTTCTAATTCATTATCTACTCATTCAGCATTTGCTGGGGTCTCTCAGTAACTTCCTCTCTGCTCTTTTTGAAACAAATAAATTCTTGAACGGTATTTGGAACTTCTTGGTCAGCAAAAGGAGAAAGGGGAAAATGCCATTACCATGGTGCAAATTAAAAATCCTCTGTTGCATTAATTTAGGATTTTATTTTTATCCATCATTAAATGCCAGGGAGCAGCAAATGTTAATCAGGTATTTTAATTCAATAAATGCCATGAACTCCACAGACTGATTCAGAGTGGACTTGTGGCCTAATGTCAAAGGGAAACAGAGACCATCAGATATCAGTCAGTTCTGGTGGGGCTCAGTCTTCCCATCCCAGAGCCTCAACAACCTGCATCTGTCTGATCCTAAGTGTGAATGCCTCCTTATGTGGGCCTCCCAGGCACCTCACTTGCCCACACTCGTCCAGGCCCTGCCTCAGTAATACTAACTCAGTGAGTTTTAAGACTCCAGAGGCTAGGGTGTGAAGAGTTTGTCTCTCTTCTTTCTCCTCATAGTGTAAGACTAATGACTCCAAGATTAATTGCACTTCCAAAGCCCAGATGTGGTGGGTGCTTTCCAAAGGAGTTGCCCTGTCCAAGGTGAGGAAAGAATGTCATGGGGGCAGTTTCTGAATGCTGACTCTAGACATTCTTGCTCCCAGTTAATTGCTCCTCTGGTTCTTGTCTTGGGCATTGGCCCTGAGCTTTGCTAACTGTGACTTTTGGCTCTGGTTCCTTTCCGGTTTCTGCCTCCTGGCTTCCTCGTCTCAGTAGCAGAATTTCCATCTCTGACTATCAGCCCCTGATCTGGTTTGTTGCATATATTCCATTTAGGTCTCCTGATTTCTTTTCTCCACCATCTTGGAGTAAAGTTTGAATGCCACTTCAAGAATCCATGGTCTGGACATGGACATCATATCCTGGAAAGGAGAAAGGAGACCACAAAAGCTTGCCTCCTAATGTTCTTTCCCTACCATGAAACACAAACTAAAAATTTATTTTCTGCTTTGGACTGCATAGATGTGTTACAAAGATTAATGTCCGTGAAGCCTGTGTGGATTGATGTGAAAGCAGCCACGTAGAAGATTGCCAAGGAATTGCCTTGGCAACATCTCTACATTAGGAAGAAACATAAAGCACAAGCTATAACGATAAAGTAAGGAGGCTGTTTTGTTTTCTTATGAAATACACCAGAATCTATACTTCTAAGTGCCCCTGTGTCCTTCAAATTAGCCATTGTGGGAAACCATCACTTATTTATCTATTTCCAAAATTAATCCTTATTTAAAAAAAAAAAATGTTTGGAATGACCTTTTGGCATTTTCTTTAGAAATGGTGACACTATTTTTCCCCCTTCAAATTTACTTAATGGTAAAGAAAAAGAAAAAAATCTGTGTATTATTAGAGTGGTCCTGAATTTAAAACCAGGAAATGGGGGGGGGGGGTGTTAGTCACTTATTTAGGAAATATTAGAGAGAGATTAAGAGAAGGAGGGAGGAAGGTGGGGAGAGAAAGAGAGAGAGGTTTTCCATCTATAACTATAAAAATAAAATAAGACCTAATTCAAAAGTAATGAATGGTGTGTATATGTGTGCATGCACATGGAGAGTAGGGGTAAGAGTATGAATGAAAGACTGAGATAGCATATCCCAGGTATTTCAGTTTGCTGATAGTGACTTTATGTCTCACCATACAAAGAATGCAAATCTGACAGGCCATGCATGTTACAACTTTCACCCCAACAGGAAAATTTCTCATCTTCAGTCTTGATTGAAAACACAAGGTTTTTGGGTGGGGTTTTTTTTTTTAAAAAAAAAAACAGACGATGCTGTCAGCTGGAAGGCAGAATGTCCCATGGGGCACACCATATGAATGAAGATCTTTCTTCCACCCAGAATTTACAGAGCCTTGTCATCATCTCTGATTGCTGCTACTGCAAAAGGCCAGGCAACAAGGGTTGGCTGTGCAGACGTGTGAATGCTTTCAATTGAATTGTTTAGGAAAAAGTAACTTTGCAAACTGGTCAATTTGCCTCCAAGCACAAACTCTCCCCGCCCCATCCCAATCACTCTCTCCTTCCCCAACTGCCATTAGTCTCTATTTCCATTATTTCCTCCCTCAGGCCTCTCTCTGCCTCCATAAAAATAAGCAATTATTTCAGCTTCAAGCAGGATGTTGCCCCTTAGGAGACCTCCAAATGCCATAAGTCTGGGAGAAGGTGGATGATTTACAGATGGAACCTGGCAGATACTGTGTGATACCAAGGGACCAATGAGAATAGTTCTGCTAGCCATAGAAAAATCTGTAAGAAAAAAGGAGGACTCAAGCCTCTCCCTTCCTCTGGTTGCTTCTTTTCTTTCCCATTGGTAGATGATTTCACTTTCAGATGCCTTCCAAAAAAAAAAATGTTTGTTTTGTGAATTCTTGTATTTTCTAACGCATACTGTGTATGATTCTTGGCCAATAGTAACGATGGACTGAACTCCCTGGGTTTGCAATATTTCCTGGATCACCAGGGGGTTTTGCCTGTCAGATTCCCCTGAGGACCACTAGAGGCTAAGTCAGGACATAGGGGCTCAGGCTATGTTGTTGCTCCTAATTCTCAGCGATACTATTCACCTTCTCACCCTGTAACTGGCATAGCTACCTTCCAAACTTGCCAGTACTGCCAATTTGCCAAACTACAGGGACTGCTTTTGTGTATGCCATAGTATTCTGAGGTTCTATGTTCATGATTGTTTTTTTAATTCTCCTGGTAGATTACTGCTACATTTTAGAGTAGATTAGTTGGGTTTCTTTTGCCTGCCAGTTAAATTCTTTTCAGCTTAACAAGCATTTATGGAATCCTTGCTAAAGACAGATATAAAAGCTGCAGAGGTTACTTAAAAAGTTAAGACATAGTTCATAATCTAATTGGGTCAATAACTCAAGCACAAAAAGGAATGTAAGATAGGAGTGTGAGGTAGAGTAAGATAGGAGTCTTAGGATACATAAAACATTGTTCCTTTATTATTTTACTGTTAGAGGTTGGCCCACAGGGATGGGATATTGTTGAGAAAAATGGCAAACAACAGAAAGCAGGAAGGGGCTCTGTCAAATCCTATCTAATAACGAGGGAATATGCAAATTAACCGTCATACCATCACAAAGATGGTGGCACCCATAGCCACAAGTTGGTTGCACCCACTCCCCTCAGCCCCACCAGAGTCCCCCAGTCCTTTTAGCCCCGCTGGCGGGGGGTGGCAGGTGCGCAATGCCGCCAGACCTGTTCTCAGCCCCCCAGCCACTCAGGGCCAGCCCACGGTGCAGGCAAGCCTCAGATGTTGGCTGCTCAGCTGCCCAGGGCTGCCTGAGGCTCAGGTAACTAGGGCCGGTGAGGCTTTTGCTGCTGGCAGTGGCAGCAGCAGAGGTGTGATGGGGGTGTTGCCTTCCCCTGATCACCAGGTCTCCTTCCCATCCCTGAGGACTCCCAGACTGTGAGAGGAGGCAGGCCGGGCTGAGGGATCCCCCTCCAGTGCATGAATTTTCATGCTCCAGGCCTCTAGTATTTCCATAATAAATAAGTTTAAACCTGAAATCTGTGAGGACACTGTGCCCCTCTAGCTACACTAGAACCACCTAAATCATATCATATTTGTGTGGTCAATCTATTTTCAGGGTATAGTGAGGAAGCCAACTTTTAACTTTTTAAGACTTTATTTATTTTAGAACAGTTTTAGGTTTACAACAAAATTGAGAAGAAGGTAGAGAGATTTTTCCATATGTACTCTGCATCCCATACGTGTATAGTGTCTTCCATTATCAACATCATGCACCAGCATGGTACATTTTTAGCAGGGATGAATGTATATTGTCACATCACAATCACACCAAAGTTCATAGTTTACCTTAGGATTAATTCTTAGTGTTGTATATTCTATGGATTTGAATAAATGTATAATGACATGTAACCACCACTAAAATACCATACAAAGTATTTTCATTGACCTAAAAAATCCCTATGCTATGTCTATTTATTTCTTGACCGAGGCAACCATTGAGCATTTTATGGTCTCCATAGTTTTTCCTTTTTCAGAGTGCCATATAGTTGAAATTATACAGTATGTATCCTTTTCAGATTGTGTTCTTTTACTTAATAATATCCATTTAAGGTTCTTCCATGTCTTTTCATGGCTTGACACATCATTTCTTTGTAGTGCTGAATAATATTCCATTGTTTGTATGTACCACAGTTTATTTATTCAGACACTCAGTTTTTCCCTTACTATGAAGGAAAAAACTCCTTCTTGCATGTCTCCTGTACTACTCACACCAAACACTTCACTTCTGATACTTCTGGTCACCAAACAAACGTGTGTAAGTTTTTCCTCACAACAATGAGCAAGTCTCTAACACCAACTGGGTAACCAGGAGGTGCCCTAGAAGCTCTCAGGATTTTGCTTTGTTCAATTCAGGCAGTAAAGGGGGTTTGAAAAGGAAGACAAGAGGTTCCTGAGGGGGACTATTACTGAACAGTTGAATATACATGTCTGAAGCTCAGAAGAGGGACTGGGCTAGAGATTTTTACTTGGAAAATATAAACATATGGGTAGCAGTTAAGTCAATGGGAACAGGAGAGTTTCTGGAAATAATGTGGAGGATGATAAGGGACCAAAGTCGCAAAACATGCAAGAACAGAGGAAATCAATGATTTTTTCTACTGACCCAGAATTGTCACTAAGCCTTTAATTTAGGTTTTTGAGATTCTCTAAGGGGTTGTTGACTTGGTAATTTATTTAGTGTAGGTTTAGTGAAACACATTTATGGGGTTTATAGTCATTTTTATGTATACTTAAATTACTCCTAGTTGTCCTAATATGAGAATGGCTTCCTGACTGTTTCTACCACTTACCATACCGATTGTCACAAAAATTGTGAGAGAATATGTGGCCAGAGTACATGTAGTGATATCAACATTGCACTTGGCACTAAAAATGCATAGGTAGCAAAGAAATATGACATGAAATATTTGGAGCCAGAAGCTAATCTATGGAAAAATTCATCCAATTGCAAGTTTTATATATATGTAAATTAAGATTTTCCCAAATTTGACAACAATCCTTAAAATATATATGATCATTCCTAGGATGAATTATGAAACTGAAAAAAAAAACTTTTAAATATTATCAATCATAGAAATAATTTGTATCTTATCTAATGAAAGAGTAATATGCAAATTGACCATACCTCTGCTACACCCACAAGCCAATCAGAGTGTGTATGTAAATTAACCCCAACCAAGATGGATGTGACCACAGAGAGCAGGAGGGAGGTTTGGGTTTCCCAGGCAATGGAAGAAGCCAAGTTTCCGCCTGCCCTAGCTGGCCTAAGCCTCCATTCAAGGCTACGAAGTTTCAATTATGTAAGGTAAACAAATTCAAAATGAAATGGTGGCAGCCACGGATTGAGCAAATGGCTTGGCTCCACTCTAGGCTACAAAGTTTCAATTGTAGAAGGTAAATAAATTCCAGATACCAGGGCCTCCACTTGGGTTGCTGGGGGGCGTGGCTAGCCTGAAAACTACCACAAGCCCCTTGCCCAGGCTGCCCCACTCACCAAGGGTACTCCCACCCTGATCTCGGACACCCTTCAGGGCAAACCAGCTGGTGCCCACCCATGCACCAGGCCTCTATCCTATCTAATAAAAGAGTAATATGCATATTGACCACCACTCCAACACACAAGATAGCTTCCCCCATGTGGTCAAAGGTCTTTCCCCCATGTGGACACAGGATGGCCACCACAAGATGGCCAGATGGCCACCACAAGATGGCCAGCAAGGGAGAGCAGTTGAGAGGGAACAGGCCTGCAAGGGAGGGCAGTTGTGGGTGATCAGGCCAGTAAAGAAGGGCAGTTGGGAGGCACCAGGCCTGCAAGAGAGGGTAGTTGGGGGTGATCAAACCTGCAGGGGAGGGCAGTTAGGAGTGATCAGGCCGGCAGAGGAGGAAAGATGGGGGCAAACAGGCTGGCAGGGGAGCAGTTAGGCATCAATCAGGTTCGTATGGGTTAGGGTTTGGGGGTGATCAGGCTGCCAGGCAGAAGCAGTTAGGGGCAATCAGGAAGGCAGGCAGGTGAGCAGTTGGGAGTCATCAGTCCTGGATTGTGAGAGGGATGTCTGACTGCCTGTTTAGGCCTGATTGGAATAGTGCCTAAAAGGGCAATTGGACATCCCTCAAGGGGTCCCAGACTGGAGAGGGTGCATGCTGGTCTGAGAGACAGGACCGGATTTTGTGCACCAGGCCTCTAGTTAATGATAATAGGATACAGATAGTATTATCTTACTATTGTTTTTATAGAAACTATTATAAAAACTTTGTCATATAAAAAATCAAAGATTAAAAGCATATGCAATCAAAATATATTTAAGCAGCTATGTAATTAAAAATATATTATTTATATCTAAAATTTTTATGTTTGTCAGCTTCCTAAAATTTGTAATTTATTATGATCTCAATAACAGGTAAATAGGAAAATCATAGAATCAAATACAACAGTATTACTAGTTATATTAAATACAATTGTCCTAACCACATCAAATAAAAAGCAGAGATTGTCAGATCAACTAAAATGTCAAACATAACTATGTGCTATCTATAAGAATCTTATTTTAAATATAAAAAAGCAGATAGAATTAAAGTGAAAGAATTTTACAAAGATAGTCCATGATGACACTAATTAAAAATACCTGAAGTTGTATTATTATCAGACAAAGTGGATTTCTCAAGAAATAAAGAGAGTCATTTTATAATGATGGAAGAAGCAATTCATCAAGAAAACATCATTCTAAATGGATTTGTACCTATCAACCACTGGACTTCAAAATACATGAAGCAAAAATCGATGATACATCAAAACAAAGCAAAGACAAATTCACTGTGGGATCAGAGATTTCAA